TCTTCTGATATCCACTCAAGGAAGCCAGGTATTCATGCCAACTCTGTCCTGCCCATCTGTAACTCCTTTTCTAAGGGGGAGCACATTATACCTATTGGGTTTTTGGAGCATTTTTGGTCAACCCTTAAGATTTTCCCATTGTTCTACAGGCATACTTCACAAACACAGATGGTTCTGGTGGGAGCCAGTGAGAGCTTGCACATCTCAACAAATTGTAGCAGGTCCTAGCTCTCTGAGACACCCTTGCTGAAGCCCTCATACACACTCTCTGCACCTGAACACCTCTCTTGCTTTTTATTTGTGCATTATTGCCTGAAATTGTGGACCCAAAGTTGCTAATGTGTTACTACTGTTACACACCACCCCAATCTCTGCTGAGTGGTAACTACAGTGGTGCCTCGCAAGAGGAAATTAATTCGTTCTGCGAGTTTTGTCGTCTTGCGATTTTTTTCATCTTGTGAAGCACGGTGTCGGGAAAGTTTTGGAAAAGCTTCAAAAATCACCAAAGCCTTTAAAAACCTCAAAAAAGGCTACCACACCGCGTTCTATGAGTTGCTCCTCGAAGTCAAGTCGCAACTGTATTAACGGTGTTAGAAAAAGGAAACAAACTTGCAAGACGTTTCCGTCTTGCGAAGCAAGCCCATAGGGAAAATCGTCTTGTGAAGCAGCTCAAAAAACAAAAAACCCATTCGTCTAGCGAGTTTTTTGTCTTGCGAGGCATTCGTCTTGCGAGGTACCACTGTAGATTCCAAGGGTCTCAGGGTTGTATTTCTGTTGGAAGTTCAGACATGGCCGAGGCTGGAGCATTTTAAGACATGTTTTACAGATATATGCACCTAGAGTCTTCCACAGAGAGGGAGAAAGTTCAAAGCATTACTTCTCAAGCAGGGATTGTTCCCAACAGCAGCACAGCATTACAGTCCAAGACACTCAGCATGCCATTTCTGTGCCTCTCTCCCAGCCTCTCAAGATGGTTCTGCCCTTCATCTCCCCCACATGAGCTTCTGCCCACTTCCCTTTCTTCTTCTCAGAAAACCCTGCCAAAACTCAGACCTCCCTCCTGCCATCTCACACCCCCTCCCCATCACCTTAGTTTTACACAGACCTGGGGGGGTCCTCCTGAGGTGATAATGACTGTCTATTGTTTCATAATGACCTACAGTGGTACCTTTGGTTACGAACACTTCGGGTTACGAATTCCGCTAACCCAGAAGTAGCTGCTCCTGGTTGCAAACTTTGCCCCAGGATGTGAACGGAAATCACAGCGCGCAGTGGGAGGCCCCATTAGCAATAGCACATCTTGGGATAAGAATGGTTTCAGCTTAAGAATGGACCTCCGGAACGAATTAAGTTCGTAACCAGAGGTACCACTGTACATTCAACTGGCCCAGACAGGCTACTTTGCATGGACTACACTCAGGAGAACTGCTGTAGTCTGTATTTTCCATTCAATGTCACAAATATTACCTGAATACTATGATTTATTAATTCCTGCTACTCACTAATATACTGTAGTACTCCAAATCTGTAACAATACAGACTGGAAATGTTCAGCTGAAAGTGCGGAACATAATTTCAATTAATTAAATAGGAACAGCAACAATTTGCCTCTTAGACTGTAAATATGGGTACCCACTCCCCTGACAGGAATCATATGAAAGGGCATGTCTCCTATGTAATAATGTCATAGGCAAGGATTACATGGTTTCGTGGAGTTACGTTTTGTTCACACTGAAACAGATGCATGTGTCAATCAAGCTTTAAAATAAAGAAAGTAGAAGCGTGTCATACCCCACTAAATTTCACTTTGAAATTTCCACGCAAGTGCTGCGAAACAGCTTCTGCCAGCTATACTAGGCTCCCTCGGCTGCTGAAAAACAAACAGCAGCCACCACCAAGTGTCTTATATGCATTACATTAAACAAGCGTGACAGTCGGAGATTCCTTTTATTTGGCAGGATTTTGAATAGCTTCTAAGCTCAATTTGAAAACAGTGTTTGAAATACTGTTTTAGATTTTTCTCCAAAAAGGAAACCTCATTCCTTTTTAAAAAATAAAAACCAAGAACTACTCCTGATTCTAATTTGTTCTATGTGTGGAAAGAGTATTCCTGTATTTGAAGAAGGAAAAAATAAATTGGGGTGACACAGCCCCCAACAAGCAGCAAAAAAGGAAAGAAGCAAAACTCCATAGGGGTTTTTTGTGGTGGGGGTGAGGAATGTGCTTATTTACACAATCAACCTAAAATTAATCCAAATGGCAGACATTTGCACAGAATGCAGAAACTGATGGTCCATTGGTCTGATTTGTGCATATACAGATTGAAGGTTAATATAGGAGCCAGTGCAGACCTTTACTATTTACTAAGATCGCTACCTATGAAAAAGAACATGCGCTGAAAAATGGTCAAAGGATTAATTAATTAATTAATTAATTAATTGTAATGTTCTGTAAATCAGGCAATTGGATTTACTATGGAACAAGTCTGTAAAGAAACCACCCTTCTCCCAACAACTGAGAGGATCTCCCTTTTCTCTTTTTCTTTTGTCATCCCCATTTGTAAAACTTAGCCAAACAAAATCTGGAACCGGTTGCCTTGATGACCTATGTGCAATTTATTAGCCCTTTACATCCTGAAGAATATCGTTTGATTGTTTGTTTTAAACATTTCTAAACCATGGCTTAACCCAAACATGGATGCCAGGACAATATACATAAATATCAAAATGTAAATTCAAGATTTGAACAAACTAACAGTCAAAACAGAAAAATAAAATCTAAACGATACTACATAAGTCAGCTGGTTTTTTGAAGTGCCGTAGTGTACTAAAGTTTACAGGAGTTCTAGGCTCTTCTTCACACAAAGGGAAGCTTACATCAGTGCTTTACTTCCTTGGTAGCTAGCAACACAGCCTTGGAAACCAAACCTCCCACCTGTTCCTTATGATGCCATCATCCAAATATTGCTGGTGAAATATGGGATCTAGCCATGGGAAAGAAGCACACTTGATCCACTAGCAATATAGGAACTGGGCCCATGACTCCTCAAAGAAGTGCTCGTACATCAAAAGCTGACAATCCATTTTATTGGGATTGTGACTGTACTGTGGGGAATGGGGGGGGGGCATTTGAATAGCATATTCCCACAATACATCAATACCTTTGCTTGAATATACTGCCCCCTCACTCCCAGTGAGTGGACTAACACATGGAAAGAATAAAGCGTTCAACTAGTCTTCCTCACTCCAGGACAGATCATGTAATTCGGCTCCACTGAACCTTAGAGTTTGTAGGTTTGGAAGTCTGAAATAAGCCCTACATGCTACATAAGTGCTAAGGTAGAACAGGCTGCTGAACAGACATGCTCAACTTTCATCAGCAATGTAGGGTGGCTCAATAAACCTCTTGTGTTGTCCTGTTAATTGGTTCATTGTTGCTGTTGTGATTAGTGTGCATTTTGTGCCTTCTTGTCTCCTATTGGTAGGCAGAGCAATCCTATGGTGACAAAGGCGTCAATTCCTAGGGGCCAAGGCACATTGCCCCCCAGCTTTTTTTAGGGGGTTGGCCCCCCAGTGTTCAGAGGGCAGAGGAGGGAGAACACAGAGCCGGGCGTGTTTGGCTGTGCCCCCTGGCTCCTTGTGAAGTTGTGTGTGTGTGACATCAGGTCATCGTGTTGGGCCCCTGTGATTTCCAGAAGTTGGAGCATATGTTAGGTGATATGGGACATAGTTTCTTGTGTTTGGGTGTATGTGTATGTGTGAAGATTCAGTGGCAGAGCTCCTGCCACTTCCTAAGCCAGTTTACTGCAGCCTAAGCAGAGATGCGGCTGCACTTTCCCCCCCATACCTTTAATGGTTCTCTCACCCCTCCCACTGTAGTGCAGGACTCCTTGTGGGGTGGGGCATGTCTGGGAAATTTGGATACTTGGGACCCTGCAGAGTCTTGGACACCCTGACATGCTCCCAATTTCCCCTTGAGCACTTTATTATAGACTCCAATGTCAACACATCACTAGCAGAACATCTATGATTTCCACCTTTTCCAGGGGGCTTCTGCAAGCGCATGTGCCTTTTCAGTTTAATGCTACAGATGGGCTTTTAGATTAGGACTTGTGGGCCTTGGAGCTCAGTGGGAGACCTTGGATCAGGCACCATCCCTCAGCCTAACCTACTTTACAGGTGAGGATAGACTGAGGACGAGGAGAACCATGTTTGCCACCTTAAGAGCCTTGGAAGAAAAGTGGGATGTATATGTACACTTTTCACCAATAAAATAATTTCACCAATGAGTTCCCCTCTCCAGAGGTGGAGGGGCATGTGTACCACATGCCCCTCAGTCAGTCTTTAAGATTTAAAAGCACTGCCAGAGCAGACAAGGGTTCATCTGGTCCAGAATCCTGTTCTCACAGTGGCCAATCAGATGCATGTGGGAAGCTTGCAAGGAGGACACAAGTCACAGGGCTTGGGAATCACTTCAGTTGGGTATTCAGAGGTATAAGCAGTACTTTTTTCTGGGGGTACACAGTACTGGTATACCTGAAGGAGCATCTCCACCCCCATCGTTCAGCCCGGACACTGAGATCTAGCTCTGATAACCTTCTCGCGGTTCCCTCACTGCAAGAAGTGAGGTTACAGGGAAGCAGGCAGAGGGCCTTCTTGGTAGTGGCGCCTGCCCTGTGGAATGCCCTCCCATCAGATGTCAAGGAAATAAACAACTATTTGATTTTTAGAAGACATCTGAAGGCACCCCTGTTTAGGGAAGTTTTTAATGTTTGATGTTTTAGCGTGTTTTTAATATTCTGTTGGGAGCCACCCAGAGTGGCTGGGGAAACTGAGCCAGGTGGGCAGCGTATAAATAATAAAATTATTATTAATATTATTATTAATATTATTGGCACCTTTTTTCTAGAAGAAAAGCACTGGTCAAAAAATGTAGCACTTACTGTAGGAACCATGAGAACTGGCATCTTTTTTTTCTAGAAGAAAAGCACTGGTTATAAGGCAGTTATCTCAGTTAGTTAGAGCGTGGTGCTGATAATGCCAAGGCTGTAGGTTCGATCCCCGTATGGGACGGCTGCATATTCCTGCAGTGCAGGGAGTTGGATTAGGTGATCTTCAAGGTTCCTTCCAACTCTACAATTCTATGATTCTATGACCCAACTGCATCTGACACTATAGTATAGCTTAATCCTGGCTGGTAGCCATGGATATCCTTAACCTCCACAGATTTGCATAAACCATTTTTCAAAACATCCAACTTGGTAACTATCAATATACCTTGCAGTAGCAAATTCCATAGATTAATTATGTGTTGTGCGAAAATTTGCCTTTGGCCAGTTCTAAGAGCACAAGCTTAATTGTATTAACTGCTATGCTTTTATTTTTGCTTTATCATCCTGCTTTAAAAAAATTTTTAAAAAAATGTAAACTGCATTGAGGGCCATGTCAATAGGAAGGTGGGATTTATATATATATATATATATATATATATATATATATATATATATATAAAATAAATAAGCAAAATAAAACACTGAAGACATGCTATCGCTGCCTCTGAACACCTGAAATTTGCTCCCTTTTAATGGATTTTAAAATGTGAGTCTGTCTGGCTTTAAAAGAGGCAATATTTTTGGATCAGCTGCAATGCACTTTGTCTCCCCTAATCTGTAATTTATTTATATCAGCGGACCAAAGCTATAAATTCAGCCCTGACACGTTTCATAGTGTGAACCTCCCGATCTACACTAATCCCCAGATTAGATATTGAAGTGCTGCTTCAATTGTGCAGCATTATCGCATCCTATCAGTTGGCCTCTTTTCAAACTGTAGCATTTATTGACAATACTTTCAAAGCTGTTGCTAAGTTGTGAGCACTCCCCCTTATCGGTTCCTGCTTTTACAGCATCACTTAGGTAGACCTTGCTGCAAGCATTGCTATACTCCTATCGCTGACAAAAATGATGTGTGTTGTTTGACCTTTGTCTTCTGCTCCATGCATAGTAATTTCTTTTTTGGCAATGATCCGACAAGCCGATTTCTCTCCCTCTCTGTCTTTCCGTCTATCTGTATTTCAGTAGTTGCATATAGGAGTAACCCGAAATCTGCTGTTGTTAATGGGCTTGGCTTAATATCCACATTTTCCCCTTTGGTTGATGAACTGAACCAGCATAAATGATTTAGGACTTTGGAAAAATTGGTTGTTTTGTTGTAGGGGTGGAGGAGAAATTTAAAGATGAACCTACCTAAATAGAACTTGCCAATATAATACGTGGACCAGAATACAGCAGTCTTTCAGACTTAATACTTATTTAAATTTTGCAGTGCAGTTCTCCTGGTAAGTAGTGTGTAAAAAAAAAAAAAAAAAAAAGATAAGCTAGGGTAAAGTGTTCATAATACATGCATATATTGCTGAACTTAACACTCTAAACACTATACCACAGTGTCTCTAATGGAAGCTTACCTCCTGGATGTAATAGAAGCTTTGAGGAGCAATTTACAAGGCAGTTTCCATTAAAAAAAAACCAGAATGTCATACCCTTCAACATGCCAGATCTAGAACACTATATTCCTGGTCTGAAATCCCACATGGATCATGTAACCAGCGAGAGATCACAGACCCTGAAAAAACACTTTTTCGGGCACAACACCCCAAAACACAGATTTTGGAACACTGCACAATATTGCAGACCTGAAAAAAAATATGCTTTTTTCAGAATGAGGTCTTGGCCCAAGATTGCACAAGAGCAAGGCTCCCAAAATGGCCATCATGGTCTTGTGGGGGGTGGGGCGGGGAATGGGGTGTCAGGATTCTTCCAGGGCAGTTGACGGGTATGGAATGTGTCCCAAATAGATTTGAGTGCATATCCATGCAGAGGACATAATGTCTGGACGTTCTAGGCTAAGAGGACACAGAAACCAAAAGCTGTGTTAACGATGCCATAATTTGTGAGGTCTTGTTCAGAGGTTAACTTTGGGCTAAAGCACCGATCCAGCAAATAAAAACCAGAAACAAACAAAAGCCCATCAGTCGTGGACTCCAGTGCCTGCCTGCTCAGAACAAAGTCTCACTGAGTTTAAAACAACTTGCCCCAGATAATTGCGTATAGATAGGACTTCAGTCTAACTTGGTATAATTCAATTACCATCCATTTGGTTCTTACAGGACCCCCTAGAGCTTAAGAAGACCCATCACTTCCTTCTTGGCACTGCACATATCTGTCACATCGCAATCTTTAAACAAGGGTTAGCTGAGAATGCATTTTAGCTCCCGTGATTCAGCGTGGATTATGCATACAATGTGGACAAGCCAAACAGTGGCAGAAGCAGATATACGTCTGTATGTCATGCAGATGGTGATGTTAAGCTCAGGATTTACTTGTGGTTCTGCCTGTCGTAACTGACAAGTCCTCTGCTTTTTGCCAACTCTGGATAAGGCAGGATCAATCTGAAATAAGAAAACTCTAACTTGGCCTAGTTGTCAAGTGAAGGAGACTGAGATCCAGAGACATTGCTGCACAGTAGTTTGATCACATGAAAATGCTCACCTGCTTGTCTTGCCAATCCCTTCCTCTCTCCATATCATCACCCTTGCTGTCTATCTGAGATTGTAAGCTGGTTGGGGCCAGGGACCCAAGGCATCAGTCACATTGTAGTACCAGTAGCAGCAGCTCAGATCCAAAGGATGTTGCTTGCACTGAAGCCCTATTGACATGAACTAGATATACATTAATCACAACCGGCTTGTTCTATCAGGGCACAGAATGAAAGCATACGGAGAACTACAACCCTACCTGAGAATGTCACAAAGTTCTATAATGACAGAAAGTCAGGATTCAAATGTAATAAATAAAGAACAAAATAATAATAGTAGTACAATGACAATATCACATGTTGTGACCAAAATGAATAATAAAAAAAGGAATTTCTTATAGTGGCAGAACCAGGTCACCTAATTTTAAAAAGTGTTCAACCAGGCAGCACCAGAAGCCTGCTGAAAATGGTTTTCTAGTTTATTTGAAAGCCATTAGCAAAGGAGTCTGATGGGGCTCCCTCAAGAGGGCATTCCACAGTCTGCACTCAGATTAATAGTGGAGTTAGAGAGAGTGAGGACAACACAGACCAGGTTCTTGGTTGTAAATCTGTGTGCATGGGCAGGTTCATATTCATGGAGATGGCCCTTCAGATAGCCAGAGTCAAGGCCTTTAAAGGTATCTGCTCATCATTGCACAGCATTGCTGAATAGATAACGCTCACTGGGGCATGGTGATTACTTAGCCAGTTCACTGCTGTTCAACCATAAAGGCATGATCCAATGTGTAAACACTACCCCCAAAGTTCTGATGCATCCTTCACAGGTGGTCATATCTTCAGGAAAAGTAAGTTCTGCTTAGCTATATCAGCTTCATAGGTATGAAGTACATGTGCTCTGGCAAGGCTAGAATAGTACATTCCAGTCCCAAATAGATGTGTAACATTAACATGGACAAAGACCCCAGCTCAGTGGCAGCATGCGCGTTTTGCAAGCAGATGGTCCCAGGTTCAAACCTGGCATCACCAGGTAGAGTTGGGCAATACCCTTGTCTCAAATTCTAGTGTGCTGCCAGTCAGAATAGGTAATACTGAACTATATGGACTAATGGGCTGACTCAACGTACGGCAGCTTCCTATATTCTCATTCACACACAACTTTGGGAACCATTTCCTCCCATTAGGAAACTGTGGGGCAAAGTTTGTACCACAGCTTGGTTGACTTTTTATAAGGCCATGAGGGTACACTGCTGGCTATCTTTCTGAGCTATATTCAGAGATGCCAAATGCAGCATTCCAGGCTTTTCTATCTAGCCTTCCAGTCTCCCTTACAGTATATATAAATAATTTTCTGGAAGAGTCAACTCAGTACAAGCAAAACATTCCTGTTCGGTTGAGATCAAATCAACCATCACCAGGAAAGGAGCATTGACTTGATATCACCACTGAAAAATAATCTGCTGCATTTCTGAGTTCATTTAGTATAAATTGCAACAGTAGTTTATATCTTCAAACCAAAATAGATGTAGAAAAATTGGTTCACCTTACATTTCAAACAGACGGTTCTTGATATATGTTCCCGAGCTGCTGTTTACATCATGGAGAAAGAACATGGAACAGGTCCAATGGCAAAACTCCACATTTTTGACTGATGATAATAGAACGCAGCTGTACTCTGGCCCATCTATGAATGGAGATAATTTATCATTCATCCTTTCACTTAAAAAGAAAGTGTGTTTAAATAATTTTTGTCCTTTGAAAGAATGATTCGCCAAATCTACAAGCCGAGGCAACATATCTGCTTCTCTGGAACAGGGAAGAAGGAATGGAGAGTATTCTCTTGAGGACTGAAAATCACAGGGCCCTCTCATGCATGTGTAGCTTGGAGGATGAGGGCTTTAGGGTGCAGTGGCCAGACTTGTCAAATTAGTGTATTCATAATGTAGATACCTTTTCAAATCTATCTCCTTGTCATTTCTTATTTATTGAGAAGAAATGGGTATGACCAGTACTGATGGAAAACAGCAGTGCAAGGAATAGATTAACCAGGGCTCTCCATGGTCAATATTATAAATCATAAATGGGAGTCTCATGTTATGTAACATCCCACAAGCTGATATACTAGTTGCTTGTTAATGTAAATAGGGTAAGTGGGGTTCCCCCACTCCCCAATCACTTTTCAACTTGCAAGTCTTGTTGCAAGAATTATTCAAACTAATTTTAAATCTGAGAGCTCGATTTGCATGCATCAGCCAATGAGATACAGGTAACTTGCAACTTCCACAGAATTGGGCCTATGGCATGGCTCCTAGTGTATTTGAAATGGGCACCTGAGCCATAAGGGCTAGATTTCTCCATTATTTAGAAGAGTCAAGGCTTAGTAAAACTGTGTTCAGACCATATCACTTTAGAATGCAGGTGGGGGCTCAAGTGACTTAAATATTTCTCCCTGCAAAAGATTTCTGCCACTTAAAAAAACCAAGGTATCAGTGGAAGCAGTTTTGCATAGTCATCTTGTTCTTAGCATTCTGGGAAGGGGCTTATGACGT